CCAATATATTTTTATTGATTTCAGAGAGGAATGGAGAGGGAGAGAGAGATAGAAACATCAATGATGAGAGAGAATCATGGATCGGCTGCCTCCTGCACGCCCCATACTGGGGATCGAGCCTGCAACCCTGGCATGTGCCCTTGACTGGGATCGAACCCGGGACCCTTCAGTCCACAGGCCGATGCTCTATCCACTGAGCCACACCGGCTAGGGCTGTGCGTGGTACTTTAACATCTTACAAATGTGCATCTACCATGTGCTAGACATGGTGCTGGGCGGTCCATTTATAGGCGCTCCATCCTGGCCCGCTCTGCAGGCGGGGGCTTTATCTCAGTCTCCCAGCTGAGGAAACGAATGTGCGTGAGTGGTTAAATTTATTTTCCCCGGAAGCCGAGAGGCAGAGGCAGGATTCAAGCTCTACGGCAGCTTCCCCCACAGAATATTCTGTGCGAATGGAAGTGTCCTGTGTCTGTGCTGCCCAGTGTGGCAGCCTCCAGCCCCAGGCGGCTGCTGAGCACCTGAGGGTGGCAGCTGTGATTGGGAAATTCACGTTGTTGTTAATCCTCACCCCAGGATATTTTTTCCATTTTTTAAAAAATATGTATTTTTATTGATGTCCGAGAGGGAGGGAGAGGGAGAGGAGTTAGAACATCAATGATGAGAGAGAATCATTGATTGGCTGCCTCTTGCATGCCCCCAACTGGGGATCAAGCCCGCAACCCAGGCATGTGCCCTTAATCAGAATCAAACCCGGGACCCTTTGGTCTGCAGGCCAATGCTCTATCCACTGAGCCAAACTGGCTAGGGCTGTTTTTGTTTTTTTTAGTGGACTTGGTGTTAACCATTGTAAGGGAGAGGGATAGAGAGTTAGAAACATCGATGAGAGAGAAACATCGATCAGCTGCCTCCTGCACACTCCCCACTGGGGATGTGCCTGCAACCAAGGTACATGCCCTTGACCAGAATCAAACCTGGGACCTCTTGGTCCGCAGGCCGACGCTCTATCCACTGAGCCAAACTGGCTAGGGCTGTTTTTGTTTTTTTAAAATATATTTTTATTATATTTCAGAGAGGAAGGGGGGGAGAGAGAGTGAGAGAAAGAGAGATCAATGATGAGAGAGAATCACTGATTGGCTGCCTCCTGCACGCCCCCCACTGGGGATGGAGCCCCAGCTTGGGCGTGTGCCCTGACCGGGAATTGAACCGTGACCTCCTGGTTCATAGATCGACGCTCAACCACTGAGCTACGCAGGCCGGGCCCAATAAGGAATTGGATCCTGCTTTTCTAGAGGAGAAAAGAGAGGCTGAGAGGTTCCGTGACTTCACCAGCACCTTCCATCCAGGAAGTGGCCACTGTAACATACCCCTCCATGGTCACCCCCGCGCCCACTGCCTCAGCCTCCTCACCTGTAAACAGGCGGCAACCAGACCCCAAGTAACCATTGGTCATTCCATTCCTTCAAGTCCGGGCTCTGTCCCCTCCTTGCTGTGTGACTCGAGGCAAATAACTGGTCCTGTCTGGGTCTTAGGTCCCTCAACAGAAGTCAGCCCTTGGATGGGCTTCTACGGGGACATGCTCCTCTAGCCCCGAATCTCCCATTGCCCTGGCTCTGGCCCCCTGTGGGGGAGCTCGCCCACTCCCTGCACCCCATGTTCTTCCCTTCTTCCCCTCCCCCCTGCATAGAGATGAACCTGGCGGCCGCGGTGATAGCGGTTCTCGGCTTGACGGTCATGGCCCTGGGCTGCCTCTGCATCATCATGGTGCTGAGCAAAGGCGCAGAGTTCCTGGTCCGAGTGGGAGCCATCTGCTTTGGCCTCTCAGGTGAGGGCCGCGCGCGAGCCTGGAGAACGAGGACATTGCAGGCTGTGGGGTGGGATCCCCAAGCACTGTTGCCTGCTGGGAGGTGGGATCTCTAAGCCCCATTGCATGCTGGGAGGTGGAATCTCTAAACCCCGTTGCATGCTGGGAGGTGGGAAATCTCTAAACACCGTTGCATGCTGGGAGGTGGGAATCTCTAAACCCCGTTGCATGCTGGGAGGTGGGAAATCTCTAAACACCGTTGCATGCTGGGAGGTGGAATTTCTAACCCATTGCATGCTGGGAGGTGGGATCTCTAAGCCCCGTTGCATGCTGGGAGGTATGGTCTACAAGAACTGTGCATGCTGGAGGGTAGGATCTCCAAGCACTGTTGCCTGCTGGGAGGTGGGATTCCCCAACCACTGTTGCCTGCTGGGAGGTGGGAATCTCTAAACCCCATTGCATGCTGGGAGGTGGGATCTCTAAACCCCATTGCATGCTGGGAGGTGGGATCTCTAAACCCCGTTGCATGCTGGGAGGTGGGATCTCTAAACCCCGTTGCATGCTGGGAGGTGGGATCTCTAAGCCCGTTGCATGCTGGGAGGTATGATCTACAAGAACTGTGCATGCTGGCAGGTAGGATCTCCAAGCACTGTTGCACGATGGGAGGTGGGATCTCTAAGGACAGTTGCATGCTGGGTTGCACAATGGGAGGTAAGATCTCCAAGAACTGTTGAACGCTGGGAGGCAGGGTCCCCAAGCACTGTTGCATTCTGGGAGGCTGAGAACTCCAAGCACTGTTGCATTCTGGGAGGCTGAGAACTCCAAGCACTGTTGCATGCTGGGAGGCTGAGAGGTCTCCAAGCACTGTTGCATGCTGGGAGGCACAAGGGCTAGTGGTAGGCTCAGAAATGAGAGCTCTAAACCCCGTTGTTGGCTCGGAATTGGAGGCTCTCCAAGCTCTCTTGTGTGTGGGGCTGTGAAGGGGGCCTAATATATGGCGAGGAAAGATGATTTGACTTTGGGTGGTGGTACGCAGTGCAATATACAGGTCTTGTAACATAGAAACCCACACCTGAAACCTATATGATCCTATTAACCGACGTCACCCCAATAAATTTAATAATTAAAAAGAAAACGATTCGGACCTTGGGGTCTGCAAGGACTGTCATATTCTTGGAGCTGAGGGTCCGAAAAAATGCTGCACCTTGTGAAATGTAGTCCTCATTGGGCAAGCGTGTGCTAATGTGGATAGAAAGGCCACTAGTTCGGCATTTGCTTGTGAGGGCTGCCACAGCAGCGCACCACGGACCGGTGGCTTGACCACAGGAATGTATTTTCTCTCCGTCCTGGAGGCTGCAAGTCCAGGTTCCCGGGGTCAGCAGGGCTGGGCCCTCCTGAGGCCTCTCTCTCCTCAGCCTGCAGATGGTCCTTTTCTCCCCGTGTCCTCTCGTGGTCGTCCCTCTGTGCCTGTCTGTGTCCTACTCTCTCCTTGTAAAGGCAGCAGCCACACTGGATTGGAGCCCCCTCGAATGACCTCATTTTAACTCAAAACCCCCCCCCCCCCCCCATATAGGATGCGGCTCAGCCCACCACAATACATTCACCGGGTTATCGTCCATCTCTCCTTCTGGGTGGAAGCCTCTGTTAGTCCCCTGTGTATATATTTCACAACGAGAGCTCAGTGGAGATCTGTCGAGTGAATGAAAGATGCAGGAACTTGCAGAGGCGTGAAGGGGACTGGACAGTGTCTCCTCTTCGTCCAGATGCTTTTTCACCTTCAATGACCTCATGCTGAGCTGCGTGGGGCCGGGAAGGTGTTCAGTGGGTCACTGACTCCAGGCTGCATGCCCCAGGCCCCTGATTAAAAACCATGGGGAAGCCCTGGCTGGTGTGGCTCAGTGGATAGAGCATCGGCCTGCGGACTCAAGGGTCCCAGGTTCAATTCCTGTCAAGGGCACAAGCCCAGGTTGTGGGCTTGATCCCCAGTGGGGGGTTGCAAGAGGCAGCTGATCAATGATTCTCTCTCATCATTGATGTTTCTCTCTCTCCCTTCCTCTCCCTTCCTCTCTGAAATCAATAAAAATATATTTAAAAAAAAACATGGGGGAAACTGGGAGAAGCAGAGGACAAAGAGGAAGGAGGGTCAGGGACTGAGGTTGGGGCGAGTCTCCAGGATCTGAGAGGGGAGGCGGCTGGAATCCATGACCATGGATGACCATCCGATGGTCCTAAGTGGCCCTAGCCGGGTTGGCTCAGTGGATAGAGCGTCAGCCTGCAGACTGAAGGATCCCGGGTTCGATTCCAGTCAAGGGCACATGCCTGGGTTGTGGGCTCGATCCCCAGTGGGGGGGCGTGCAGGAGGCAGCCGATCTGTGATTCTCTCTCATCATTGATGTTTCTCTCTCTCTCTCCCTCTCCCTTCCTCTCTGAAATCAATACAAATATATTAAAAAAAAAAAAGATGGTCCTAAGTGATCTGACCCCTGCCCACCTCTGCACGCCCATTGCCCACCACTCTGCTCCTCCCCACTCTCTTTGCTCTGGTCACACTGACCTTCTCTCTTTTTCTCAAACTCACTCTACTCCATCCCACCACGGGCCTTCGCCCCAGCCGCTCCTCCTGCTCGGAATAGCCATCGCTTCATTGCATGCGTGGCCGGCTTCCAGTCATTCTTCATTCGCGTCTCAGCTGAAATGCCTTTTCCCGATGACACTATTTAAAGTCCCTGCTCTACCCGGGATGTCACTCCCCTTCCCATCACCCTGTTTTTAACTCCTTCCCAGCATGCCTCACTCTCTGAAATTATCTTGTCTTCTCATGTGTTTACTTTGGAGGTTGTAACCCGGCAGCTGGCAGGCCACGGAGGGCCCGCGACGTGCTCTGTGCCTGGCAGGCAGTGCGTAGAGATTTCTCTGGGCCGGTATTTTTTTTTTTTTTGTATATTTTATTTATTTTTTACAGAGAGGAAGGGAGAGGGATAGAGAGTTAGTTTTTTTCAGCTGCCTCCTGCATACTCCCCACTGGGGATGTGCCCGCAACCAAGGTACATGCCCTTGACCGGAATCGAACCTGGGACCCTTGAGTCCGCAGGCCGATGCTCTATCCACTGAGCCAAACCAGTTAGGGCTGAGTCGGTATTTAAGGGTTGGATGAACTCCCATCAGAGGCATCATCAGTTAAACATTCTGTCTCTCCCTGGCTGGCATGGCTGGGTTGGTTGGCTGTTGCCCCGTGCACTGGGAGGTTGGTGGTTCGATCCCTGGTCAGGGCACATGCCTGGGTTGCAGGCCGGATCCCCCGTTAGGAGCGTGCAGGAGGCAGCTGATAGATGGAGGGCTGCCGTTGGCGGGAGCTGGGTTTCGGTCACCCTGTCACTGTGCCCATCACGCCTGCCTGCTGCATTATGTATTGACTTCCTCATTCTCTCCTGCAAGCATCCTTTACTGCCCGTCTCCTCCCAGTAGAATCTAAGCCCCATGAGGTCAGGGTCTTTGTCTGTCTTGTTCCTCCCCACCCCCCTTTCTTTTTAAAATCAAATGGCATTACAACTTGACTGCCTTTCTTTTCATTTTGTGATTCACCATCACTGTTGTTTTTTATCCTCACCCGAGGATATTTTCCCGCTGATTTTAGAGAGAGTGGAAGTGAGAGGGAAAAGCAGAGGGAAACATGGATGGGAGAGAAACACATCGATGGGTTGCCTCCTGCTGGAGCCCCAACCAGGGCCCCGGGCCGGGGAGGAGCCTGCAACCGAGGTATGTGCCCCTGACTGGAATCGAACCCTGGACCCTTCGGTCAGCAAGCTGACGCTCTAGCCACTGAGCCAAACCAGCTAGGGTGACCATCGCTGTTTTTTTCAATTTTACTGGGGTGTGACTGATGAGGAAAGAGAGGGGGGGGGAAGATTGAGATTTGTTGTTCCACATATTTATGCATTCATCGGTTGATTCTTTTTTTTTTTTTAATATATTTTTATTGATTTCAGAGAGGGAAGGAGAGGGAGAGAGAGAGAAACATCAATGATGAGAGAGACTCAGTGGTCGTCTGCCTCCTGCACGCCCCCTACAGGGGATTGAGCCTGCAACCCAGGCATGTGCCCTTGACCGGAATCGAACCCCAGACCCTTCGGTCCGCAGGCCGACGCTCTATCCACTGCTCACCCGGGACCCTTCAGTCCACAGGCCGACACTAGCCACTGAGCAAACCAGCCAGGGCCATTGGTTGATTCTTGTATGTGCCCTGACTGGGGATTGAACCCGAAACGGTGTATCAGGATGACGCTATAGCCCACTGAGCCACCCAGCCCGGGGCCGCTCCAGAACCTTTCAATCTTCCCCAGCTGAAGCCCTGTCCCCTTAAAAACCGACTCCCACTCCCCTCCCCCGGCCCCAGGCGCCCACCCCTTGCTCCACTTTGTGCCTCTCACACTTACTCTTCCTTCTTTCTCGCCAGCTTCCAAAATTGCATCTGCTATGTAATAGGTGCTTAGTAAGTGGTTGTTGAATGAATGAATGAATGAATGAATGAGAGGGTGCTTGGGGGGGGGGTGTGTCTCTCAGGTTTCTTGTTTGAGGAGCCTGGGATGGGGCGCATTGAGGAGCTATTGAGACCGAAGTTGGGGGTTCCCCCGGCGCCTGAACACCTCCTCTCTCCTCTCCCCGCAGGCCTGCTGCTCCTGGTCAGCCTGGAGGTGTTCCGGCATTCCGTGCGAGCCCTGGTTCAGAGGGTCAGCCCCGAGCCGCCCCCGGCCCCGGCCCTGACCTACGAGTACTCCTGGTCTCTGGGCTGCGCCGTGGGGGCCAGCCTGGTCCTGCTGCTGGGGGGCGGCTGCTTCCTCCTGCTCACCCTGCCGCCCTGGCCCTGGGGCTCCCTCTGTCCCAAGCAGGGGCCCAGGGCCCCCTAGAGGCACCCTGCACCTTCTCGAAGCTCCTTGCAAACCCCTCCTTGGTCCTCTGTCCCCTCAGAATCTTATTGTTGTTGTTGTTGTTGATCCTCACCCCGAGGACACTTCTCCACTGACCCCTAGAGAGAGTGGAAGGGAGAGGGAGAGGCAGAGAGAAACATCGATGTGAGAGAGACACACGTCGATGGGTTGCCTCCTGCATGCACCCCGGCCAGGGCCCCGGGCCGGGGAGGAGCCTGCAACCGAGGGACATGCCCTCGACCTGAATTGAACCCCGGACCCTGCGGTCCTCGGGCTGATGCGCTATCCGCTGAGCCACACCGGCCAGGGCCCCTCAGCATCTTTCGCCCCACGTCCCGGAGACACTGTCCTCCTTGCTCCGGGGGTCCAGGCTGTTGGCACAGACCCGTCTCTCACGCCCTCGCCTTTTCCTCTGTACATATGTGTTCCTCGGTGGCTGAATCCTGGGCCGCTTGGGGGTGGGGTGGGGAAAGGCTTTTTGCAAACGAGGGTCCCCAGGGGAGGTTGGTGGGGACCTGATGGGGTAACTGGGGGCGGGAGGGGCGGGAGGTGAGGTCAGGGGGTGTGGGGAGGGAGCGGGACCTC